GAAGAGTATTATGTAAGTTTGAGGAACATCCGCAATGAGCTAAATGTGTATCACCCTCTAACATCAGATGTCCAGATCCAACAACAGCAACGTGAACAACTTGATGTGACTAGGTTTCTTGTGGGCTTGAAGGCTGAGTATGAGCTTGTCAGAGCACAGATATTGGGGGGATCAGCTCTCCCCTCACTTGAAGAACTTTTTGCCCGTCTTAAGAGGACATCCATTGAGCCGGTGGAACATTTTTCCTTCTCTGATAGATCTGGTTTGGTAGTGACTAAAGGGAGTGGCCGTGGAAGTAGAAGTGGTGGTGGCAACAGTGTATAGGAGATTCAGAAATGCTGTGGGCCGGATCTTACCTTTGTATTCTGGTCCTATAGGTCTAGGAGATTCAGTCAATGCAGAAGTTCAAGCAGTTCTAAAGGGAGCAGGAATTGCCAAGGAGATGGCAATGGAGCACTTAATCATTGAAGGTGACTTGAAACTGGTTGTTGGGTGTTTAAAAGAGCCGGAAGTGACAGCATGGTCCTATAGAGGGGCTTTGATAAGGTTCAGATGGTTAAAATCAAATATGTCGGTGCAAATTCAATGGGAAAGAAGATCGGCAAATGGGTTGGCAGATTCTTTAGCCAAACAAGGGGTACATGGGAATCAGTTTTTTTGGGCTCATTTGTATGCTTTATGATATAGCTTAGAGGCGGCATCTAACACCTCTTTGTGGGGAATTTGTAGTATGTATTCTTTGTGCTGATTAATAAAATAACCTTTATCTATAAAAAAAAATGTTACACAATTTGTAGTATGTTTAAGTAAAACCTTTGTCAACCAAGTGAGCCTTAAAGTCTTTCCACTGTCCTATCAAGCTAAAACTTCGTAGTATAGATCCACTGACAACCAAGAACCTTCTTACTAGAAGGGAGACAAACCAAATCCCAAGTTTCATTTTGATGAAAAGCTAACATCTCTTCTTCCATATCTTTCCTCCAACTAGGATTAGATAAGGCTTCCTAATAAGTTAAATGTCCGGAAGTTGATTATTGAAGGTGACTCAAAGTACTAATAAGTTGGTTGCAAGAGGAGGAAGTGGGATGGTGGAATTATGTTAATGAAAAAGGAAATTAAAGTGGGTGACACTTGGAATGGAAGTCAGATTCCAATGAGTTATAAGAGATGTGAACTCCTTTGCTGATGCATTGGCTAAACAAGGGGTGGGAAGAGATCATTTATTTTGGGCTGTGTTGTAATCTGTTTTTCTTTGGGAGAGCTAAGATAGTTTTTCTCACCCATTTATGATTTTATTGTATCTTATTCCTTTTAATTTTTAATGAAAAGTTCCAATTATTGATAAAAAAAGACTAGCATTTGCACCATTTTTGTAAAGAATATACACTCAATTGCCTAGGGTTCGTGTTTGTCTTGTTGTCATTCAAAAAGATGAGCAAAACACACATTCAAATATATATAGAGGCAAGCAAAACAAAGAAGAATTAGGAAATAGAAAAGAATAAAAAATCTGATTATGCAACATTGGTGAAGGTATCTGATTAATAAGATAACAAGCTGTAGGAACTGCATCAACCCAGTAGATTTTAGGAACATTCATCTAAATGAGAAGAGCCCGTGTTGCTTCTAACAAATGATGATTCTTGTGTTCAGCCACACCATTTTGTTGCAGTGTGTGAACACATGATGTCTAGTGTCAAATGCCATGCTGATCAAAGAAGCTAGTAAAGGAAGAAGATGTGTATTGTTTTGCATTATTAGATTGGAAAGCACAAATATTAAAGCCAACAACCAAGTGATTCTTGAAAAATCAATAACACAAGTAACAAAATACTTGCATCCCAAATACGAACAATTGGGACCAATTGGACACGGACCCCTAACATTAGAATGAACAAGTTGAAATGGTTTTGACACACGGCTGATAATTCGAGGAGGAAAAGTAGCCCAGTGGTGCTTTCTGAGCTGACATGTATCATGGTCAATAGTTGTGTCAGATTAAAGAGAAAGAAACAAAAGACAGACTTTGCAAGGAAGGATGATCTAGTCGCAATGTAGCTAGAAAGGAGAAACATTAGTAGAGGATGATTGAAGAGCAGTACTCCCTAAACCACCTTGTCGATAGTATAGACCACTAGATTCAAGTCCTCTACCAATCTATCTCTTCATCTTAAGGTCTAAAACCTATAATAAGAAGGTAAAAAGTAATAGAATAGTTAAGTGATTTGGTAAATTTACTCATAAACGTAAATGGAAATTGAGGGGCATAAAGTACATAAGACAAAGGAAATTGAGGAGTTGGGTTAACATTTCCAACTCTAAACACTCGGGATGTGGCACCGTCAGCAAGAGTAACATACTCTGAAGAGGAAGATAAAGGGCTAAGCTGAGTGTAGCAAGTTGGTACTTATCATGTGATTTGTAGCTCCTAAGTCAATGACCCATGGAGATGTGGTAGAAAGAAGGTAGGTGGAGCAATTATGTAGCTTCCAATTGTCCCAAGTCAATAGTATGCTCCTCACGATGATAATGTGTGCAGAACCTAACTCCATATAAATCTATGCAATATCCAATTATGTGGCCTCTGAATCCATAATGAGTGCAAAATCTAGAAGATGTGGCACTACAACATCCAGGATCACCTCTAGCACTAGAATCACCTCTACCACCCTGTTTTGTCTAGATAGGCCATGCCCACCATTACCATGTCCCCTTACAAAGACACCTTGATTTCCTCTACCATCACTACCAGAAATAGCAAGTGCAGTGCTGCTTGATTTGAAATGGATTGAGTCTCTGATATCTTGTCTCTCCAAAGCCTAGAGAATACCTCCTCCAAATCTAGTAGTTCTGGGCAGCCCAAAATTTGTGATCTAACTGATTCATATTTAGGTTTAATCCCTAACAAGAACTTAGAAACATAAAATTCTTTCCTCTTCTTCTCCATAATTGTAATATCACTAGTGGTTGGTTGGTTTATATCAAGTTCTTCACATAGACCCTCTATATTAGAATAATACTCTTTAAGAGACTTATCTCCCTGCTGAAGATTAAGGAATGAAAGAATGATTGAAACGATTGGTAAACATGAGCAAAATTGTTACTACCTGAATACATTCTCTTCACTTGATCCAGTATCTGCTTGGGTGTATTAAGGAAGATTAGGGAACTGTTAATTTTAGGTTCCATAAAGTTCTATAGCCATTTTCTGATCTGGGCATCTTCTGTTCCTCCTGAATCCAATCTGAATAGGTAGAACTTTCAGCCTCAGGCTCCTTTTTGGCAGGGTACTTCACTTTTCCTTTGTCCATAAGAAAGACCTCAACTGACTTAGCCTAAACAACATACATATTTCTTCCATTCAGTTTTATAAAGATCATCCGAACAGACATAAGTTTGTAGGTATGGAATTCATTACTTTTCACAAATATGTAGATGGAACCCAAAACAAGCCTTACAAATAACGCTAGAACTATCATTTTTCCATTTTTTTTTTGGGGGTGGGTAGGGGAAGGGTAGGGGGCGATGGCCCCTTGTTGCCCATGCCCATGGTTCCACCTCTTCCTAGAACCATGTATGATTGGATGTGGAAGAAATAGTTAAATTATTTAATGGGTCATCTCTAGCTTTCTTTCTAAGAAATCTCATTCCCTTGATGAACTAGATGCTGAATATGCTACTTGATTTTCTTGGTTCCATGGCAGGTCTTGTCTTCAGTGAATATTTGCTTAGTGGTCAAGTTCCTCCTATTAAAGAAGTCAATGATGAGGAACCACTTTTTCCAGGCATAAGAATTCTAAATATAAATCCCATAGATAAAGTAAGTTTCTTTCTTCCTATATATTGTTCTATAACATGATTTTGTTTTTTCTCTGATGTAACTTTTGAGGAAATGGTTTCAATTATTATAATGGGATATATTGTTGTTCTATAACATGATTGTATTTTTTCTGGGATGTAACTTTTGAGGATATGATTTCAATTGTTATAATGAGAAATATAGTTTGGGCTTTAGGTCAAGTATCTATCTATTGCTTTCTAAGAGCTTCATCATTATATTTTCTTAAGTAGTCTTGCCTTTGTATGTAGCAGGGTTGGCAAGTATTGAGATATTTAGAAGTGTTATACATGTCTATTAGAGATTACAGCATGAGGACATGACAGTTGATATATGTTAAGTTATGCAGGAATTATAGAAAAACTTGCAAAATTCAAGTGTTGGAACCCTTTTTAATCTATGCTTTCACATGAAAGGCTTTATATAAGGGTGCTAAGTACCGATGATTTTTCTGACATCACTTGTAGGTACCGTTGTCAACATGTGAGAATTATTTTTATTTTTTATTATTTTTGATAAATAACAGGTGAGAATTATTGTGCAAAGTGCCAGGGGAAGGAACAACTCAACACATTGTTTTTTAGGTATCTTAAAATCACTTCTTGTAAGTGACAAGTGATTCTATTCCTAGATGGCTTTCTTCAGGTGCAAGTGCCAGGTGAGGGAAGAAAGTGTTGACTGGACAAAATTTTAAGTTCTTCCTTTGTTGTTGTAGGAGTGTAAACAGAACCCAATTATCCAATTTTGAATTTGAGATTCAATGTAAACGAATTGAACTCAGATAATTTGATTAGTTTGGCAGTTGAATTTGAATAATTATTTCATACTGATTGACTTTTGGAGAAAAGTGGTGATTGAAAAATGGAGTGATGGGATTTGAATGGGAGGGAG